TCAATTCTTTTGCATGTGGATATTTAATTTTCTTAGCAACATTTGTTGAAAAGACTGTTCTTTCCCCATTGAATTGTTTAGGCACCCTTGATGAAAATCAATTGATAGCCATATATGTGAGGGTTTATTTCTGGGTTGTCTATTTTATTCCGTTGGTCTGTATATCTGTCTTTATGCCAGTACCACACTGTTTTGATTTCTGTAGCTTAGGACAGCAAACTTTGTTTTATTGCACATCACAATTTTTACAAATTGAAGGTTTGGAGCAACCCTACTTTTTATAAGAGCATTTTTCTAAGAATATTTTCTCACTTTGTGTCTTTATCATATTTTGGTAATTCTTTACAATATGTCAAATTTTTCCTTATTACATTTGTTAGGATGATTTGTAATCAGTGATCTTTAATATTATTGTAATTGTTTGGGGGCACCACAAACCATCTATAATAATAAAAGGGCAATATGCTAATTATACCAGACGTCATTCCGGACATCCTTCCTGACAAAGCCAGGCTGGGTCCGGGTGCCTGTGGGTGGCCCGGGGGGAGCCAGCCTGGGTCCTGGGTGCCAGAGGGAAGCCAGTTCTGGCAGCTGGGTGAAGGAATTTTCATTTATTTATTTATTTATTTATTTATTTATTTATTTTTAATTTAATCTTTATTGCTTAGATTATTACAATTCTTTCTCCTTTTCCCCCACCATGCTCCCTTTCACCTGGTTCCTGCCCCACCCTCTGCCCTTACCCCTCACCCCCATTGTCCTCATTCATAGATGTATGATTTTAGTCCAGTCTCTTCCTGCACTCCCCACCCCTTTCCCCCTGATAATTATCAATCCACTCCCTTTCTTTGCCCCTGATTCTATTATATTCACCAGTTTATTCTGTTCCTCAGATCTTTAAATCACTTGATTTTTAGATTTACTTGTTAATATATATGTATTTGTTGATCATAATTTTTATCTTTTTTCTCCTCCTTCCTCTTCTTAAAGAATACCTTTCAGCATTTCATATAATACTGGTTTGGTGATGATGAACTCCTTTAGCTTTTTCTTATCTGTGAAGCTTTTTATCTTCCCTTCAATTCTGAATGATAGCTTTGCTGGGTAGAGTAATCTTGGTTGTAGGTTCTTGCTATTCATCACTTTGAATATTTCTTTCCACTCTCTTCTGGCCTGCATAGTTTCTGTTGAGAAATCAGCTGATAATCAAATGGGTGCTCCCTTGTAGTTAACTAATTGTTTTTCTCTTGCTGCTTGTAAGATTCTTTCTTTGTCTTTGCCCTTGGCATTTTTATTATGATGTATCTTGATGTGGTCCTCTTTAGATTCCTTTTGTTTGGGGTTCTGTGCACTTCCTGGACTTGTAAGTCTATTTCTTTCATCAGGTGGGGGAAGTTTTCGGTCATTATTTCTTCAAATAGGTTTTCATTATCTTGCTGTCCCTCTTCTTCTGGCATCCCCATAATTCTGATGTTGATACACTTAAAGTTGTCCCAGAGGCTTCTTACATTATCTACAACTTTCTGGATTTTCTTCTCTTCTTGCTTCTCCAGAGGAGTGTCCTTTGCCTCTTTGTATTCCAAATCTTTAACTTGATTCTTGCATTCCTCTAGTCTGCTATTGGGTCTCTGTATAATAGTTTTTATTTTAGTCAGTGTATGTTTAATTTCTCGTTGGTCCTTTTTCATATCCTCCAGGGTCTCATTAAATTTATTGGCCTTTTCTAGGAAATTCTTGAAAAACCTTATAATCATGGTTTTGAACTCTATATCTAGTCATTTGTTCTCCTTCATTTCTTTCGTTTGAGATCTATTTCCTTGTCTCCTCATTTTCGCTGCTTCCCTGAGTTAGTAGGGTGGCTTTGTGTGCTTGGTGTCCTATATGGGCCGGTGGGTCAGCCTCCCCAGTTACCTGAGGTGGACACTCTTGGCGCTCCCCTTTGTGGACTGTGTGCACAGCCTTGTTGTAGTTAAGTCTTGATTGTTGTTGGTATCAGTGGAAGGAATTGACCTCCAGGCCAATTGGATTTATCAGCTGTGTCTACACCGGGATACCTTCTGTATTGGAGACAGTCTTATAGGATCATACTTGCAAAATTGCAAAAGCATTTGTGCTCAGCTTGGATGGGGCGGAGTCTCAGGGCTGAGCCCACAGTCTTGGCTCCCCCATCAGCCCTGCCCTTGTATGCGTGCCTCAGACCTCTGCCTTCCACAGATCCCGAGTTTCTGCCTGACAGTCCAGATTCCCCCGTAAGAGCGTGGGTGCCACAGGGGCTCGCCTGGAACTGGGTTGGGTTTCTGTATAATATTTTTAATCCCAGTGCAGTCGGAACTGGGATTCAATGCAGTCAGGAGCTTCCGACTCCTTCCACTGTAGAGAGGCTATAGCAATTTCCGCAGTCAGATCTCTCTGCGTGCACTCACTTATGTGCTTGTTCCTCTAGACCACATGTGTCAAACACAAGGCCCGTGGGCCAAATCCGTCCCGCCAGGCCTTGCAATGTGGCCCGCACCGTGCTGTCATCACTGCACTCCGCTGCGTTTCCATCACAATGACAGTTTATGACTGTTCAGTAAACCATTCGGCCCGTGATTTAGGCTGGATTTTAGATTTTGGCCCCTTCTCTGATTGAGTTCGACACCCCTACTCTAGACCCTGCCCACTGCGGCTCCCGGCTCCCCCAAGTCTACAAGTCTCTGAGTCTCCATGAGCCTTTCTCTACAGTCCAGACTCTACCTGTATGAGCCTGGGTCCATGGGGTTTTGGCAGGGTCTGGGGTTCAGTGCAGTTGGGGCTTCCTTTCCCCTCCCACCACCCAGGCACTCGGCCGCCCTTTCTCTCTGCACACGCGAGTCTCCCTACCTCAGCGCTTTGCAGACTCCCTGATCCATGAGCCTTTCTCATTTTTTCTAGTTGTAGAAGTTCCTGTGGTTTTGGGTGATGTCTGTTCTGTCTTTTAGTTGTTGTTTTGAAATTTTTGTGCAAGGCGGCCATTTAGGTGTTTACCTAGGCCGCCATTTTGGTTTTCCCTCTCTTGCATGAATTTTCATGCATTGGGCCCCTAGTGTTTTTATAAGATGGCAATCATGCTCTAAAATTGTCTTCCCCCTTCCATCCTGTCTGTTATTTTCTTGATTCACTCATAATTCTGCTTATACATGTGGATAATTAATTCTCTTAGAATAGTATCCATTTTGTGAATGGAATATGTTAGTGAAACTACCTATTCAACAATTTGAGTTTTTCCAGTACTTCTATGACACTTTTATAGCTATTGTGTGTTGTTTTATTTTTGAACATACGTATGCATTTCTGTTGGGTGTGCCCTAGGAATAGAATTGGTGCATTATCATATTTGTCTGTGTTTGGCTCTGCTGATCAGTTTCCAAAGCAGATATAGTATAGTGGTATCACATTTTATTTATTTTTTATATATTTTATTTATTTTTTATAGAGAGGGATAGAGAACTAGAAACATAGATGAGAGAGAACCATTGATTAACTGCCTCCTGCACATGCCCCACTGGGGATGTGCCCGCAACTAAGGCACATGCCCCTGGGATCCGTCAGTTCTCCATCCACTGAGCCAAACCGGTTTCAGCATAATTCAGAACTTGGTAAAAATGCTGTGCTGACCAAACAAATGTGTGAGCCAGATGTGGTCCATGGGGCACCTCCAGATTAGACTGTGTTGTCTATGAGGGTTAATGTTTCTCTTCAAGAATCTAAATAGATAGCCAAAACTGGTTTGGCTCAGTGGATAGAGCGTCAGCCTGTGACGGAAGGGTCTCAGGTTCGATTCTGGTCAAGGACATGTACCTTGGTTACTGGCATATCCCCAGTAGGGGATGTGCAGGAGGCAGCTGATAGATGTTTCTCTCTCATTGATGTAATTGTTGGACAGCTGGAAGATTAAAAATTCATGCTGCAATACTGTTAGTGGAGAGATTTTGAAGTGAACTGCATTTGGAGCATCCATTTGCATCCCTCTTGCCCTGTTTAGTGGGGTGAGTGCAAAGAAGTTACCAAGATGATGGCAAATGGTAACCCTGAAGCTGTAGAGGCACAAAGAAAAGTGCCCTTAGACCCGATTTTGGGGGGTTCTTTATAACCTGGCCACATTCTCCATCCCTTTCACCATCAGACTTGCTGTGACATCAGACTGTTTTCTGCACATCATAGTGCTCTCAAGGCCAATGTGTTTCAAGGCCTTGGTGCATGCCATTTCTTCCTTCTGTTCTTTCTGTGTGGAAAGCTCTCTCTCCCTTCTGTACTTGGCAAGCTCCTACTCATCCTGCAAGGTTCACCCAGAATTTTTACTTCCTCTGCCAAAGCTTTCCCGAGTTGGATACCACTTTCTTAGAGTTGGATACCACCTCCTCAGAGGCATCATTTTCCTCTTACCTCATTAAATCACTGATGTTGATGTATCTGGGAATATGGCGGAAGTGGACACCTGAGGTTTTTGCCACCCATCTCATATCTATTTGTCCTATTTCTGGGAGCAGTGCCCTAACTTTCAGACACCACTCCATCCCTTCTCAGAGCCCTGTTGTTTTAGACCACCTTTCCCAGACCACCTGCAGCCTCAAAAGGCCTGATGCAAGATGGTTGTATTTCCTTCCCTGACAACCCGGTCTCTGGGACCATCTCACTGTAGAAGGATGCGAACGTATTGGGACAGGCTCCAACACTACAGAACTCTCAGGAAGCAGGCTCACCCATTAGCTCAGATGACAGAAACCCTGATAATAGCTACTTTCTTGAGTCCTCAAGGATAGCCACCTTCAGCTTCCTACCTTATGAGCGTGGGGCGGGAAAGCAAGATTCAGAAAGGTGGTTGTCTCAAATTGCTCAGCTCAGCTAACATGCTCTCACGAGTTCTACCTGACCTCAGAACTCGCACTTCTCACTATACCAGAGAAGGCTGAGGAGGTGCTGAGTCATGGAGGTGACCTAGAGGGACAGGGAGAACAAACAGCGCCAGAGCCAGGGCTAGACCAACACATCTTTATTAGTCTCTGCAGCAGGGCCACGGGAGCCCCTATCTACAGGGGGACTTTTGCAGGCTACTCTGGCTACTGGACAGGAATATCAGCATTTCTGTGGTGATTGGGACAGGCTGGGAGAGGAGACTGGAAGGAGACCAGATGAGGAGGCTGCTGGGCAGCCAGCAGGGAGGCACATGTGCGGGGCCTTCTGCGCTGAGACGAAGGTGGTTTATGCCCCAGAAGTGAACACTGCCATCCTCCCCAGAGTGGATGTGGAGACAACACCTAAGAGGGCGATAGCCACAGCTCTGGGCACAGGGGAGCCTCTGGGGAGTAGTCATACATTTCCTGATGGAGGATCCTAGGGCTGGAGATCCCATAAAGGTGGGAAACAAGTGCTTTCCGGACACCGAAGGATCAGGGAACCCAGTAAGCTGGTAGTGGGAAGGATGGGGCTAAATGTACAGTGTTTTGGGTTTGGGTCTGTGTTAAAAAACAAGCAGGCAATATATTCATTTATTATGAAACTTCCTCTAAAGAAACCTCACATCTCCCCCTGACTCAGCAAGCTTCTTAACCTAGAGGGGTATAATGATCTGACCCCTGCCTCCCTCCCCAGCCTAGTTAAATGTCCCTTTAATTTCTTTGACAAGCCCTGCATGCTTGCCAACAACCTTCTAGCCTGCCTTCCTCTCTCTCTGCCCTCTCACTGTCCAAGGACTGATAACTCTGCCTTGTCGAGTGTGTACAGCTGTTTTCCCCCACCAAGCCTGGAAGAACCTGACTTCTATGTCTCCAGCATTTGCAAAATTGAAGCCACATGAGTGGTTTTGTGTGTGTGTGTGTGTGTGTGTGTGTGTGTGTGTGTGTGTGCGTGTGCACACGCGCCCTGTTGTGTTTGGGGCAAATATATCCACGTGTCTATAATGGGTTTCTGGGGTGTCTGGCAGTAGAGACAAGGATTTTTCGTTAACGTTTGTGCCTCCGATGGTAGCTTCTTCCCATGTTGGGGCAGAGGGTGGAAGTAGGAGGGGGAGATCCAAGCTTCGCACGGCTAATAGGAAGAGGCCAAAGTTGGGCAGGGCTTGGGTGGAGGGGCGGGGACAAGGAGTAAACTATGCGCTGAGTCTCGCTGAGTCTCGGGGCTCAGAACCAACAGGGCGACCACATGAGCGAGCCCAGCGCCGCCCCGGTGGCCGCCCCCGCGAGCATGCCCATGGCCAGCGGGGCTCCCGAGCTGTAGCAGGGGTCCTCCCGCACCACCACGTGCGTGACGCCTCCGGGGCCTGCGGGGAGAGCCGGGGAGGTCAGACGAGGAGACAGAGTGATCTTAGCTCCCCTCCTCCAGCTGGACTCCAGCCCAACCCAAAGTAAAACGCTGAGCCCACTAATTTAACATTCTATTAATAACTCTGAAATCCCAAAGTTGGTTTTGCAACCCATTTAATGGCAGAATTAGACCTGATCTGACAGGGAGCTGGTTTTTAATCATACTTAGTATGAATATTCATTTTTTAAAATTATTATTATTTTTGCAATAGCAATAGCGTGGTTGATTTTGGCCTTACGGTGGGAAGGAAGTGCGGCCCGCCCCCTCGGCTTCCAGGCCTTGGGTCCGCTGTGGATGTGGGCTAGGATGGAAAGGCGAGGACACCCCCATCTCTAAGAACCTCCAGACCACACCGGGAGCCGGGGCCACAGCCATTCCCGCACTAGCCACCAGGGGTCGGGACCAGCTCAGGAACGGGTGTGAGCGGCCTGAGACAAAGGCAGCCGGGAGACGGGAGTCAGCCCTGGGATGGGAAGGAGCTCCGATCCCAGTGCTATTCTGAGTTTTGGGATGGGGAAGGCCTGGTGGAGGGTTCTGCCTGAGAAAATCCTTGGTCACCAAAAGGGTGGGGCCTGACCCTGGATCGAGGCAGGAAGCTGGCGGGCCAGCTACTTACCTGGGTAGGGCTGTCCGTAGGGCGGTCCGTAGTAGCTTCGAACGTAAGTGGCGTCGTGCGCATTGGGCGGCACCACCTCGTAGTAGTCCTGGTACGGGCTGTAGACGCGCACCTGGGGAGCCCTGCCAGGTTAGCTGCCTGCGAATTCCCTGGCCCCGGTTTGGTCCCTTACCCACCCAGCTCAAGCCCCTCTGGACCCACGGAGCTGCCTCCCCAAGTTTAGAAGTGGGTCCCCAGGGTCCTTGTATTCTAAAGCTCAGCCTCTATATCCAGCTCCCAGTGAGGCCATTTTCTGTCCTGGCCTCCCACCTAGCATTCCCCACCCCCCTTCCCCCATCAAGAATTCTCCATGGTGCCAAGCTGGTATGGCTTAGTGGATTGAGGATCACCTCATGCACCAAGATTCCTGGTCAGGGCAAGTGCCCAGGTTTCGGGCGAGATCCCCAGTAGGGGGTATCAGGAGGCAGCAGATTGATAGTTCTCTCTCATCGATGTATCCATCTCTCTCCCTTAAAAAAAATCAATTAAAACATATTTAAAAAGCATGTTCAAAATAATTCTCCATGGCTTCCAACTTCCTTCATAGATAGTCTAATATTTGCTAGCAGCTCTCTAATGATTCCATTTAGAGAAACCCAATGAATTTCTCTACTCTCCTAGTCACGGAGAGGGAGACCAGGCCACGCCCCAGGCCCAGGAAATAAAAGAGGGTTGAGAGGAAGGGATGGGGTTGATCCAGTAGGGAAAGGAAGTAATTAAAGTATTATTGAGCATCCACCATGTACCAGGCCTTCACATTGTTACTTCCTCTGTTCCTTACCACAGTCCTTATCATCTCCACATTACCACAGAGCTAGGCATGGAGGCTCAGAAAACGGCCAGTGTTCTCCGGGAGGAATGCTCTCCCTGCCCCCTTCGCTCTCCATTAGATTTTTACTAACCCCTCCAAGCCTAACTCAAAAGTCACCCACTCCAGGAAGCCCTTCTCTGTGAGCTATGCTTGTGCCTCTTATCCTCTGGGCCTTTCCGGCTTGCTACCCGTAGGCAAGGAATCTGATTTGTGTCACCAGCAGGGTCTAGTGAATGCTAAGAATAAATATATGCTAATTAAATGGTAGCTCCTAGTCCAAGCCCCTCATTTTACCTACAGAGAGCAGACCTGGGGAGGGGGCAGAATCCCCTTCTCTCCTGACTCCTCCTCGGCCACCCTTCCACCCTCGTCTATCTCTTTCTAACTGGGCTTCACATCTGAATGGTCCAACTCCCCTTTGAAGTCCAGGTGTCTTAAACTCCACGCATCTCAAAGTGATTTCATCATTCTTCCGTCCCCCCAAACTGCCTTCTGTAAATTCTTTTCTCTAAATGCCACCACTGTGCTCTCAAACCAAGACATCATGTTGGCACCTTTATCTCCACACACTTATCTTCCACACCATATCAGCCAACAGGTCACATGACTTTTATCTTCTAACTATGCTCTTCTGTCCATCCTTTTGGCCAGTGCCAAGAGAATAAGCCATTAGTTTTGGCAACTTGGAAGCTGTGGGTGACCGTGAAAAAAAAATACCTTTCAGAGGAGTGATTAGGAAAAGAAGCCAGACTATAGGGAGTTGAAGAATGATTGAGAGGTGAGGGGTGGAACCAACATACCATGACATCTCTTTCGGGAAGTTTAGCTGTAACCCTGGCCAGTGTTTCTCAGTGGTTAGAATGTTGGCCCGGGCATCAAAGGGTCTTGGTTTTGATTCATGGTCAAGGGCATATACCTGGGTTGTAGGTTCTATTTCCGACTGTGTCAGGGTAGGTGCAGAAGGGAACCAATTGATGATTCTCTCTCACAGGGATGTTTTTATCTCCTTCTTTCTCTCTCTCCCTCCCTCCTCCCTTCCAATCTGTAAATATCAATGAATGAAAAAAAAAAAATCCTTGGGTAAGGATTAACAAAAAATAAAATATAGACTTCAAGGAGGTTAAAAAAAACACAAGCTTAGCTGTAAAGGGAAGTTCTCAAATGCCACTTCCCAATGATGGGGAGCTTGCCTTCCTCACCTTTTTTAAAAATTTTTATTCAACTACCTAACTTGTCCTTTCAGAGTCAACTCAAGTATTACCCTCCCTGAACCTCAGGTCCTGGTGGGCTCCCATCTGGGCACTAGTTGGCCTTAGAGTTTCCTCATCACAGCAAAGCACAGTCACTCGGTAGTGTCATTGCTTGTATCTCTGTGAGTGTGAATCTCTCATCAGACTTGAGGACGCCCTATCACCACCACCAAAGGCAGGGCCGGGGTCTAACCAGGCCTGATTGGAACATGGTAGGTTAATATCAAATACAGGGTCAGACTGGAACTAAGGTCATCCAACTCAGTCCAGTTTCAAGTTAGGCACAATGACCAGACCCAGGGCAACGCAGGAGGCTCAGACAAAAAAAAAAAAAAGCTCAGTCTCAAGTGACTTCCCTCACTGTGCTCCTCCTCCGAGGGTGACCCAATAGGGATTTCTGGTGAGGGTGGCCAGGATTTGAGCTCCAAGCCTAGAAGGGCTAGAGAGATCTAAGCACTCAGGTCCTGAATTTTACTGGTAGGGAAGTTGAGGTCCAGAGTGTACGCCTTTGCAGCTGCACAGGGAGCCAGTGGCCCTGCCGGGCCCTGGAGAGAATGGAAAACACCACTTCATGTCCCTGTGGGCCACCTGTTTCTACCCTCCAGGCCTGGGAGGCTCAGAGGTAAAGTCATGTGGGTCACCTAGCAACAGGGCAGGAGGGTCCCCCGAGACCTCATGGACAGAAGAACCAAAGGACCTGATTTCTGGTCCTCTCCCTCTCTGCAGGCCTAGACCCTCATATGCAAACAGATCCCTTCCCTCAGAACAACTGCTGTGTACTTATTATAAGATTTTAAATGACTGCACAGCCTTTTCTTAAAATCCTCATCCAAGGATATTTTTTCCATTAACTTGTTTTAATTAAATTTTTTTAGAAAGATGGGAAGGATTGGGGGGGGGGGGCGCGGAGAGAGAGAGAAGTATCAATGTGAGACGACAGTTGGTTGCCTCCTGCATGCCCCTGGCGGGGCCAGAACAAACCTGCAACCACATACTTGCCCTTGACCGGGAGTTGATCTCAAGACCCTTTGGTCCATGGACTGACACTCTACCACTGAGCAACACTGGCCAGGGTGGTTTACAATCTTTTAAATCCTATTTTTTGGAATCCCCACTTGTATACAAACTTGAGTCGTAGTTTGGGCATGGCGGATGCCTCAGAATACTGAGCTGGAAGTCCCGCCCTGCTACTAATGAATTAAGGGACCCTGGTCAAGTTATGACCTCTCAGAGCTTCAATTTTCTCATCTGTAAACAGGGACAATCCTACACTGCCCACTGCTGAGCCACCGTGAGAATCCAGTAGAGTCACGTCTAAGCAACTGGCTGGCCCTAGTACTTCTGGGCTCAGTGGTTCCTGCAAATTAGAATCACCAAGAGAAATTTTTAAACCAGATTCCCAAAAGCCACACCTGTGGTATTAGAGAATCCAGAGGTAAGATCTGAACATTTCTGGGTTGTTTTTTTAAGTCCTTGAGCGATTCTAATGTATAGCCACCTTGATCACCACTGTGCTAGGAAAGGGGCTCACAGTTGACTGTAAGACAACAGGTACTCTATGGCAGGTCCCCGCGGGGCCCTGGCTGAGCACTGGAGAGAGAGGATTCATCCCTAAATCCTGCATTCCAGAAGCACTGGGGGTGTGCAGGGAGACGGACAGGGACTAAATTATAATGTGCCATAATAGGTTTTCCACTTCTTCCTTCTTCCCTTCATTCATTCACTTGTTTGCTCATTCAGTCCACCTTGCCTTGGGGCCTACTTGTGCCTGACCTTGTGCACCAGGAATAAGGAGGGTCAAAACAGACTGTCTCTCCATCACTCAGTAGCCATTGGCCCGCTGTACACCCAGCACTGTGCCAGGCTCCATGGGCAGAGCTGATCAGACCTGGTCCTTGCCTTGGAGGATGTCCCAGGCCTCATGAGAGAACAAAGAGAAGTAAACAGAATGGAAACCAGGCAGCATGAAGCCAGAACTGAGCATCAGTGCAGTGGGGTGTGGGAGGAGTGACGAGGTCCGGGAGTCCTGCCTGAGGAGGGGGCAGCCTTCCAAAGTGGGGCTTAGGCGATAACCTAAACGTCCGTCTGTCAAGTGAAGATGGAAACGAAGGGTTTTCACAGCAGAGAGAGCACGTGCGAAGGCTGGGAGGAAGGGATCGGTCTGGAGCAGCGAGGACAGAGGGTAGAGCGAAGCAGTTGGGGGACACGGGGGATGAGGGGCCTGTGTAGGCAAGACTGGCTCAGGCCAGATCCCGAGGCCCTGAAAGCAGGGTCGTGGCTGGTGTCCGACGGATGACGGGAGCCAGGGAATGTGTGTGAGCCGGGAAGGGATGTGACCAGGCCCCGTTCGGGAGGCACATCCTGGCGGCCAGGATGGAGGCAAGAAGGGCTAAGTCAGCACTTACCCAGATTCGCCTCTCAACCTTACAGGGGCTCCACGAGCTGGTCACACACCTGACCTTGGGGCAAACCCGGCGGCTTCTGGGAGGGACGGCGGCTCCAGCTGGGGCCTGCTCAGGCCGCAGAAACCCAGGAGGGGGAGGAAGCGAGTTGTCAGAGGCTCCACATCTGGAGAGACTCACAGCTCTTAATAGGCACTACCGAGCCCTCTTCCAGCCGGGCAGGGGCTGGGGGTGGCCGCCTCCTCCTCACCCATGGTAAAGGGGGAGGTGATTTTAGAGAAGAAGGATCAGCAGCATCTCCAGAGTCAGCCCACCTTCACGTGTGTCGGGCTGCTGAGGTTCCTGTCTCCAGGGAGGACCAAACAGCTGTGATCTGCCCTTCCAGCCACCTGCCCCCTTCACTGCTCCCCCCCCCCCCCCCCCGCCTTGCCCCTGGCCCTGTATTCCCTAGCTCCTCCTCAAGCCTCCACCCAGAGCAGGGTATACACCTGCAGGATGTGAAGTGATAAAGTGCAGGCCACTCCTGCACAGGTACAAGACAGAGAAGCCCCCCTCCCCCACACACACACAGACAGAATTGAACACTCAGAGACAGGCGGACACTGGTACAAAGACAGAGAGACAAACACAACCCCCTGGAGAAGCTCTGGGGCCCGAGGGATGTGTGTGTGCAGAGCAGTGGGGGGTGGAGCGGAGGGCCAGGGCAGAGGTGTGGTGAGCAGAGCACCAGGAAGGTAGACAGGAGGAGAAGGGACAAGACGGCTTCATAGAGTCACAGAGTGCAGAACGGTCAGCTCTCACCTCCTTCCTTCCATCTCTCAGTGGGACTGATTTGCCCTGTATAAGGGGGACTTGGGGCTCAGAGCCAGTTTAGTCCGACCTGGGTCCCTCCACCTCCATCCTCCTGACCCCTGCCCAGCCTCCTCTCGCCTAGCTTCCTCTCATCCAGCCTTCACCCAGAAGCGTGAGTCCGCTCCCCAGTTTGACCACAGCCCTTCCTGCTGAGTGACCTTGACTGCTCCCCACAGCCCTGGGGCAAAGTTCAGTTCCTTTAACTGGACCTCAAGGCCCTTGGTGACATAGCTCCTCAGAGGTCACCTTTCCCATTTCTTTCCCTCCGCATATTACCCTCCAGCCAGGCCAGACTCCTGGCCCGGATTCACACACGCACATGTCACCTCCCTGCCTCTGCTCCTGCAACTTCCCTCAGAATCTCACACCGACCTAGGTTCCAATACAGGCTTTTTCACTGACTATACATGATGAGACTTTGGACAGATCACTCCCTCTGAACTTCAGCTTCCCTATCTGTAAAATGGGGCTGAAAACATCAACCCCGACCAGAGTTGTTGGAAGTTTAAATGGTGTAACCCATGTCAGGTGCTCATGGGCTTGCCCGACTCTCAGAAGATAGATGCCTGAGGGGGGTTCTTTGTTTTGTGATTTTATTAAGGTCTTTTATAACTCTATCAGGGGTTTCTAAATGCATCCCAGCTTTCCCTGCTACTTCCCAGGGACTTCCTCTCAAGGTGAGTAGGACTCCACTGCACCAGAGAGAAGGAGCAAGCATGGAACCTGGAGACAGGCAGGAGGGGGTCCAGGAGAACTGGGCTGTGCTAGGGCCGTTGGACAGCTCCTCAAACCCACCCCGCATTAAGTCCTGTTGGCTCTCCCTCGTAAACGTGCCTGGTCCTCATCAACTTGTCTCCGCCAGCAAGGCCTTAGTCCAGTCCCCCAGCCAGTCACCGGGACACGGTCCCAGCCTTCTAACTGGTCTCCAGGATCCACTTTTACCCTCTACAATCCGTTTCCTACCTACCAGCCAGACTATCCTTTTAAAAATACAGATCCCGCCTGACCTGATCGTGCGGTCCCTCTGCTTAAAAACTTCCAATGACTTCCAGATGCTCTCGGGAGAAACTGACATCCTTAACCCAGCCCGTAACGCCCTGCCAACCCCCCTTCCCCACTGCCCTCTCCCTCCCTGAGCTCCGGCCACAGCCTTCTTTCTGTTCTTCAACTTGCCAAAGTCTTAATCCCTTTAGGGCCTTTGCACATGCAGTTCCCTCTTCCTGGAAAGCTGTTCCATTCACCGCACCCCACCCCTTCCACCCAGTCTATTGTTTATACTTCAGGTCTCAGTGTAAGCCTTGTCTGGACTCCCACATGGATCGGGCCACCAGGGTGGTCACAAACTGAGTGTACACTGCGTGTCTCCCTCAGAGCAGTTGCCACCATTGCAGTGGAACAAACAACCGTATAATTAGCTGCTTCACTCCTGGCTTCCCAGAAGACTGAGTCCAGGAGGGCAGGGCTCACCTCTCCTGAGCTCCCCTCTGATCCCTGGCCCTGGCACAGTGCCTGGCATGTAGTAGAAAGTCAGTCAATGTTTGCTGTGCACGTGAATGAAACTCAGCCATCGTTTGCAGAGGGAACAAAAATCCCTGCCTCACAGGACTGTTGTGAGGAGCAGCTGCGATTGCATCTGTACCACACCTGGCACATGATAGCTGCTCAATAAGACAGTTCCTTCCCCCCAGCTCACATGCCATCCCCTTCTCGGAGGTCTCTCCCCCTCCTCTGAGCACCAGTGGACCGTCTTCTGTTTTTTCCTGCTAGAGACTCAGGGCATCTGAGTCTGCACAAGTCAATTCACTCACATACAGTGGCACCTCAGTTCTCAAACGTAATTCATTCCGGAAGGCTATTGGAGAAAGCCATTTGTTCGCAAACCAAAGCATTTTTTCCCATTACAAATAATGTAAATTGAATTAATTTGTTCCAGACGCTCAGATGATTCCCTGTTTTAACCTTTCTTATATACAGTTCATGTCTAAGGTACTGTTTAACCTATAAACAAACACCTCTTTTCTTACATTGACTGAACCACCCCTCCTCGCCTTCAGTGAACCCTCAGCCCTTTTCCAGGGGAGTCTTTCAGGAAGTCAGCATGGGATCTTCCCCTTTTCACACGGTGCTGCCTCCAAAGTGCTGTCACTGGCTAGCTGCTTTTTGTTTATCCAAATCAACAATCTTTCTACTAGGAACTCTTCAATGGCCTGTGATCACTGTTTCTTTCACACCCTTAGCAACATTAGCGCTCTTGATGGCCTCTTTCTGTTTTAAAATTGTGCTAGTTGTCCATTTTGCCAGAAAAAAAAAAAATATTCACAGCACAATTTCCTGAGATGTTAACAATGCCGGGTTTAGCAGTAGGCTAGAATTCTCTCCTGTTTGTGGCCTGAGAGATGCTTTTTGTCATGCTGATGTACCAGCATGAAAGGGTTGTCAGGACCAGAACTGAAGTTTTATGCTAGGACCAAGACATTTTTTCCCCCATGAACCAAACTGTTCCAGATGGGAGTGGTTCGAGAACCCAGGTTTGACTGTATATGGGAACTGAGAACTCCTGGCAGGCGGAGACCGAGTCTGAATCACCCATGATTCCATGGCAGGCGGGGTGGGGAGGAGAGGAGGAGGGGAGGGGGGCTCACCGGGGTGGAATTCGCCTCCAGCAGCGCAGTCTTCCAAGCTCTGCAAAGCAAACCCACCACACGATGAGGGAGGGTTGGAAGAAGGGGGTGAGCCCCTGCATTTTAGATTTAATTCCCCCACCCAGACACTTGCCCCAGCTTTTGGGGGAGGGTAAGACCTTTTGAATACACAAAGCTGACCCCCTCCCCTGCTCCAGTCACATGGACAGAGCTCTCAGTTGAGCTGGAACCTCGAAATTCATTCGTAGTCCATAGTTTTTACCCTTTAAGGTCAGTTTCCCCATGCAGACAACAGACAACGGGGCCGGGGGTCTCTCCGGGGCCTTTAAATTCTGACAGGCCTAGGCTGGTTCTCCAGCTGCAGTATCTCCCCAGCTACATCCAAAACCTACAAACAGTTCCCCAACACTCTGACCCCAGAGCCCTGGAAAGGGCCCGTGGACACGGGACAATTGGGCTTTTGTTGGTTGCCATGGCACCTGTCGGGTGGACAAGGCAGCTCTGTGCTTTGTCTACCCAGAGCTCAGCTTCCCCCACTCCCACACACCCCGTCTCATTCACTCTCCCACAATGCAAAGGCCCACTGACCCTCTGCCAAAGGGTAGGAAGGCAAGGAATGTGAGTGAGCGGCCGGCGCCTGAAGACACACCCGGTCTCACAGTGTGGACCTGAGTCTGGCATTGGGGCGCCCCCCGGATCTGGCAGGCTGCCTCTGTGAGGCAGGTCAGGGTCCACTCCTCAGATCCGTCTCCAACCAGAAGGAGGGTCCTTGGAGGATGTCACAGGGCTCTGTTCCTTTGTGTCACCCTAAGTGAGGGCTCACCTCAGAGCCTGCTCAAGACCTGACTCTGAATGATCAGGTGTGCACGCTCCTCCCCCAACAGCCCAACGGGGTACCTTACCAGTCACCATGAGCCACCAAACCCACCCCTCCAGCCTCCACCGACCTGTCTCTCTGTCCCCTCCCCCTAACGCCAGGGAACCAGGAGGCCCGAGGAGGAGCAGGCATCGGATCACACGCCTGGGGATGCCCTCCCAGCCTCTCCTGGGAGCCACTCACACGGCGTCATCCTGGGTGTCCGCGCACAGGTGCAGGCGGGAGCCTTCCCGGAGACTCACGGTCAGCAGCCCGTCGCGGCTCCGGCCCTCCGGGGGCTGCACATCTGAAGGCAGACACACAGAGAGGGGTCTCCGGGGGAACCGGGCCCCTCCGATGCGGGTGTCCGCGGACAGACGCGGGAGGGCTGCACCCACAGGCAGAGTGCCAGACAGGAAGGGGCGTCTCACCGTGGCACTCCTGGCCCATCTTTATGCTGCGGACATTGAAGCGGATAAGCACGCGGTCCTCCTCGTCCTGCGCGGTCTCGTCGTGGTAGTAGCCCAGGGTCCCATCCAGCCACAGGGCGAACCAGTTCCGCTTCCAGCGGCGAAGGATAGAGCCTGTGAGACAGTCCAGACCCGCCAGGCAGGCTGACCGCAGGGCCTGCTGGGGGCCTGAGCCCTGGCCCCAGGCCCTCCGAGTTGCAGCCACCCTTGCCTATCTACCCCCTGGAGTGACGACAGGCCTTCTTTCTGCCTCGCTCACCCCTCGCCTCCCATTAGGCCTAACTCCTAGCAGGGGCTCCGTAAACATTATAAATGGCAAATGAGTTTTCCGATTCCCCCCGTGAGGGCTTCCAAAGCTAATCCCCCAAGTCTCTTTAAAGGCAAAGACCTCTCCCTACCCCAAGCCTCTCAGTTCTTATCTCTGACTTGTGTGATGGTCATTCACGTAGTGTCTGCCTCTTCCATCAGATGGGGGGTGGGAGGGGCGCGGCAGGGTCCACAGCTGGACCTGACTCAGTGTTTGCTGAACCAAAGGAACTGAGACTAGGTCATGGAGCGGATTAGGGGGCTCCTAGCCCGGAAGTGCTCTTGCTAAGATCATGACCCTGATCAGAGCGTGGGTCTGGAAGCTGAGCCCGAGCTTCAGACATTTTGTGATCGTAAATCTTAACAGAAAGGGCAGAGACATCCGAGAGCTTCTTAGAGCCTTACGGGCTCTGAGGCACAGGGGCCTTTTTCATTTTGCTCTGAGCCTTGTTATGGGGCCAGCCGTGGGCTGGGGTGGTGTGGACACACAGAGGATCAAAGCTAGTCCCCGCCCTTGAAGGACTCAGGCTGGGGCCTGGTGGGGTGGAGGGTGGGGGGAGGTGACACCCACAGGTAAAGACAGTTACAGGGCGATCGATGCTGTAACTGGAGTGTGGATAAGGCATTGGGGATCAGAGAAGCGAGCCCCCGGCCCAGTCTGGTGCTACAGCGGGGGCTGGGATGGGGTTAGAGGAAAAGGCAGAGAAGGCTCCCCACAGAAGGGGACATCTGGGCGGGTCTTGAAGAATAAGTAGAAGTTTACCAGGCAGTCAGGAACAGGAAGGACATTCCAGGCACAGGGAAAAGCACGGACAAAGGTGGGGAGGATAAAAAGGGCCTGGTTTGCCCGGCCATGTGGCTCAGGTGGTTGAGTGTCATCCCGAGGGTCACCAGTTCAATTCCCGGGCTTTCGGTTCCATCCAGGTTGGAATGTGTACGGGAGGCAACTGATGGATGTTTTTCACTTCAGTGTCTGTGTCTGTCTCTGCTCTGCTTCTCCCCCGCCCCCAATCAATAAAAAACACTAATATATATATATATATATATATATATATATATATATATATATATATACACACACTCCTGGTTTCTTGGGAGAAGGGTTCACTGTGGCAGGTCTAATAAGCCACTTTTCTCACTCCTTCCCCTGCAGCAGGAGAAGCACAGGCTTGGCCCCGGGTCACTCACTCTGTCTCCACAGCCAGCCGCCCCTCACCAGGGCCATTTCTTCGAAAGGACTTCCCAGGATGGAGTCAGGCGGGACCTGTCAGAGGAGCCACAAGACACACAGGCCTCGACAGCAGTTCCAGAGCAGCCCTGGGGAGAGAAGCCCCCAGCCCCGTCCTCCCCGGGGGAACGTTTGAAGGAGTGTAAGTAAACAAACAAGGCGAGCCTGCCTCTCTCCTCCCCGCTCTCTGCTCCAGGCAGAGAATGGCAGCACTGTGCGGTGGGTCAGCGGGGCAGCCACCACTGTGCTGGGGCGGGGGAGGGGTCAGGAGTCTGGATTCCAATCTCAGTTCCATAACCTTGGCCAGGTCCCTTGTTCCCGGCCCTTTTTTTCCTGGACCCGTAGAGGTGTGACGTGAGGCGGGTAGAGGTTGGAGTGAGTAACTCATCAAATGTTCCGAAAACCCTGGGCTTCTGAAAGGCTGGCAGCACAGAATATTAGAATCACAGCAATAAGCGAGGCTTTTCTTGAACACCAACTGATCCGTTGGTAAAGTGCATAAGAGAATGGTTCCGCGGCAGCCGACTGGCTGAGCGCCTTGCCAGGTACACGTCTCAGTGCTTTTGCCTATCAGCTTACTGAAGTCTCACCACAAACCTGTCACACCCCGGACCCTGGGGCTGGGAGAGGCCCAGCCATTTGTGCAGATCCACCGGACGAGCAAGTAGGGGAGCCAGGCCTCACACCCGGCAGTCCTGGAGTCTCACCTCTATGCCAGCAGGAGCTTTTAAAACTCCAGATGCCCAGGTCAGACTCAATGAAAAACTAAAAAACCGGGTGGGAAGCAAATACGGAAAGTCTTGAAAGGTCCCTAGCTGATTCAACATGCAGTGAAGTTTGGGAACCACTGCACCTACCTTCCCTTGTCCCAACTCTAACTTTTAGACGGGTAGGCTATTTACTCCTATTTTGCAGACACACAAACCGAGAGGTAGGTACACTGCCTTGTCCACGTACGTGATGGAACTTGGATTGGAATCTTGGTGTACTCTATTCCTAAAGGGCAACTTACCTGCGATCAGGTGCCTCCGCCCCTCCCCCACTTGCTGCGTAGCAAGGCCTGGCACACCTGGGCTGGGAGGCCTTGCCCTGTCCCTGCTTCTCCTGCCGCTCCCTCCCCTCCCCAAGCCCTGACACAGGTAAGACAAGAGGGCCAGGTGCAAGCCAGCTCCCTCTCCAGCCTCCCCGGGATGCACCCACCTGTCTACACCTGTTGCAAGATGCTGCTGCCAACACAGCCGCTCCTGGATGCTGCTGCCACCCAACCCGCTGCGCCTGCGCTCTGTGCGCCCCGGAGCGCCTGGGGCATTTCACTCCCCAGACCGCGCCCCGGCCCGGGGCTCGCCGCCGTGAGCCCCGCCCCAGGCCCCGCCCACCTTGGGAGGGGGCGTGGCGTGGAGCGCTGGGCTGGCCCGAGGCCTCTGGGACTTGTAGTCCGCAGCTCTGGACCCAGCAGCTCTGGACCCAGCTGGGCTGGCCACCGCCCCTGGTCTGACCCCGCGCACAGGTGAGAGGCCGCACCTGCGATTTTGTTTTGCTGTTTGTTCACTTATTTATCATGAAATACCTTTTTCTGCCGAAACCGGTTTGGCTCAGTGGATAGAGCGTCGGCCTGCGGACTGAAAGGCCCCGGGTTCGATTCCGGTCAAGAGCATGTATGCTGGTTGCGGGGACATCCCCGGTAGGGGGTGTGCAAGAGGCAGCTGATCAATGTTTCTCTCTCATCGATGTTTCTAACTCTCTATCCCTCTTTCTTCCTCTCTGTAAAAAATCAATAAAAAAATATTTTAAAAATATTAAAAAAATTAAATGCTAAAAAAGAAGAAATACCTTTTTCTAACTTTTTTGAACTCGTTTCCTAGAGAAAAAGAAAAAAAGTAAAGCTGCAAGGAGAAGCCAGGCTCCTTGCTTTACCAGGTTTTCTCAATATTCAGTTTGTACTTGGCACTACATGCGGACTCAGAGAAGCATCCACAAGGCCCTTCTCTTTCCTGCCCCAGCTTCCAGTCTGGCTGGGGAGACAACGTGAACACACAATTACGGCGCGATTTAACGATGGGGAAGAAGAGCCTCAGACTTTGCCCAGAGGAGGCCGGAAAGGGCTTTGGAGGAGGAGGAGGAGACCTAGGAGACTCACAGGCACGCGAACCAAGGAGTTTAAAAGAGTATATAGCACCCCTGGGTGGCTCAGTTGGAGGAGCTTTCTCCTGTGCACGGAAAGGTTACTGGTTCGATTTCCCGTTAAGGCACATACCTGGGTTGAGGGTTCGATGCCCAGTTGGGGCATATAATGAAGGCAACCGATAGATCTCTCTCTCTCTCTCTCTCTCTCTCTCTCTCTCTCTCTCTCTCTCTCTCTCTCTCTCTCTCTCTTTCTCTCTCTAAGCATGTCCTTAGGCGAGGATTAAAAAAAAGAAGAAAAAAAAGGGTCCAGAATTTAGCTGCATTTGGAAAATAGAATGCAGGGATGGGGAGAGGTCGCTGACGAAGCTGCAGGGGTTGACAGGATATAACATGAAGGCATTGGGTGACAGGCTCAGGGGCTTGGGATGTTATGACACAGTGACTGGAGCTTGAGGTTGGGGGTTTCAAGATGAGGAGGGATGAGGGAGGGTTTGTGGAGGGGAAAAGCATGGGCTGAAGGGGCCCCAACTGGGGAAAGAAGACTGTTTCTGTATCTACCACCTCAGACTGCCCTTCCAGGATCATTTCCTCCACTAGCTCAGCCACAAACCCCCACCTGCAAGCAAAAAAGCTAAGATGCCATTCAGAGGACAAGACCTGTCAGGGCCTGGAAGGCTCCTGATCTGACCCCCTGCCAGTGGGCCCTTGCTCCTGTCCCAGGGCCCTCTTACCGGCGCTGCAGGACTCATGTTCCTCGGGGCCAGAGCAGCATTTCCCAGGAGGTTCCCGCGGGGGGCACTTCCCTGAGCGCCTTAGAGATAAGGGGATCAGGAGGGTGCTACCAAGTGGGAGCCAGAAAGGGGGGAGAAGGGAGCCAAGGAATGGGGACACACAGATCCTAAAGAAAGTCATCTCTCTTCAGTCCCTTCCCCAACCTCCCAGACTGATCTGGGCCTCCGACCTTCATTTCTCTGGATAACAAACTGGTCCTCCGTGACTCGGAGCGGTCTTGGCCCAGCACCCCCACAGTTTCCCCGGGAGGAAGGGAGTGGGGCCGGTTCTCCCGCCTCGGTCTGTGGCGGGGCTGCTTTTTCTTTCTCCAGCTGGGTAGGACTGTGCCATCACCCCAGTCTTGGTTGCACAGCCTGGCCCTTTAAGCTTCCTTCCCTCACTCCTGGGTTTCTATAATCCTGACCTCAAGCTACCCAGGCGCTTGCTTAGGCCCTGCGTGCGGTGCCTGCCTTGCTGGAGGATTCGCCATGGCCAATCCTATTAGCCCCTGAGCTCATCCCCTCCGTGCAGCCCCAGTTACACTCCCTCACCCCCAAACCACGTTGTTCTCTACCTGGTGCCTTTCTGTCCCTGGAATGTCCAACTTCTCCAAGCTAAAATGTCTGCCCCCATAGCAGAAGGACAGAAGGATAGAAGAAAGGAACAGAAGGGAGTAGGGATCCAGACCCCCACTTCAGCTACCCTCCCTGAGGGGGTGACGGGGGGAACCGTGCAGACAACTCTGGATTACATTCTCTGGGTTTAGCAAGCAGATGAGAAGGAAAGGCTCTACAGCAGCAGAGTGGAATTCAAAGGGAAGACTCCCCCATCCTGCTCCCAAAGAGGGGGTTCTCTGACAGAACAAGTGGAGAGAGGGTGCTTTGCAAACTAAAATTACAGATGCTGCTGCAGAATCGAAATGCAGCTGGACCTGGCATTTGTCTCTAAAATGCTGGTCAATGACCTTCTTTGAGATGCTAATAAAAGGTGTAGACTCTGTCCAGAAAAAAAAAAAAAATGCACACAGGTCACATTTTGCATGTAATTCCCGAGAGTTCATAGACTCTTAAAGCCCGATGATTACTGCTGAGATTGTTTTTAATTTCCAAAGCCGTATAGACTGATGGGAAAAAATGTGACAAGTGAGAGGCACTGAGAGCATAACAGGGATCCCAGCTCCAGCAGTCCTGGCTTTGAGAGGCTGTCTGTTTAAATCAACTAAAATTTTTTGAGACCGACAAGCCAACAGTAACTTTCATGTTTCTCTTGTAACTGGGGTATATAGTGCTATTGAAAGAGGGAAAAGTATTTTGCTATTCAAATGTCTGTGGTGGAGAAACGGCTCACAGTTATATACTGTTTAGAGAATAGTAAACTGGTTCATCAAATTAAAATTCACTAATGTTTTCTAGAAAGTATATATAATGAGAATAATTAATACCATTTCTTTTTTTGTTGTTGTTAAATCCTCACCCAAGGATATTTTTCCATAGATTTTTAGAGAGAGTGGAAGGGAGGGGGAGAGACACAGAGAAAGAAACACCAACGGGACACGTCCATTGAATGCTTCCACAGGAGCCCCCAACCGGAGCCAGGGATTGAGCCCACAACCAAGGTGCGTACCTTTGACCAGAATCGAACCTGGGACCCTTCAGTCCACAGGCCGACACTCTATTCACTGAGCAAAACTGGCTAGGACAATACTGTTTCTTTTTGCCAAAAAAAAACCCCTGCAATGTGAGCAAAAGAAAAACCACTTATATAAAAGTTTTTAATAATAATTTAGTGATATAACTTACATACCCCAAAATTCACTCTTTTACAGTGTATAGTTCAGTGTCCTAATATATTCACAAGATTGTGCAACCATCACTACTATCTAATTTCATCTCCCAAAAAAGAAATCCTTTCACAGTCTTTCCTTGGAGCAATCCCCCTTCCTTCTGACCCTGGCAACCACAAATTTACTTCCTATGAATGGATTTTGCCTACTGTGGACATTTCATATCAGTGAAATCATACAATATGGGGCCTTTTGCAAACTGGCTTCTTTCACTTAACATAATGTTTTCGAGGTTCATCCATGTTGTAGCGTGTATCAACACTTCATTCCTTTTTCTTGATGAATACTATTCCATAACATGGATATACCATGTTTTATTTATTCATTTATTACCCTGTTTCCCCGAAAATAAGACAGTGTCTTATATTAATTTTTTCTCCCAAAGTTGCACTAGGTCTTATTTTCGGAGTATGTATTATTTTTGGGGAAACACGGTAGTTAATGGACATCTGAGTGGTTTCCACTTTCTAGCTATTATGAATAATGCTGCTGTGAATACTTACAGACAAGTTTTTGCATGGATATATGTTCTCAGTTTTCTTGGTTGTAATATTTCTGGGTCGTATATTAACTGTATGTTTAACATTCTGAGGAACCATCAAACTATTTTCCAAAGTGGCTATATCATTTTACATTCCCACTAGCAACCTATGAGAATTCCAATTTTTTCACAATCCTTGTTATTGTCCGTCTTTGTTTTTTAATATATTTTATTGATTTTTTACAGAGAGAAAGGGAGAGGGATAGAAAGTTAGAAACATCGATGAGAGAGAGAATAATCAATCAGCTGCCTTTTGCACACCTACTACTGGGGATGTGCCTGCAACCAAGGTACATGCCCTTGACCGGAATCGAACCTGGGACCTTTCAGTCCGCAGGCTGATGCTCTATCCACTGAGTCAAACAAGGTTTCGGCTTGTCTGTCTTTTTTATTATAGCCCTCCTAGTAGGTGAAAATTATCTCACTGTGGTTTTGAGTTTTAATTTATCTAATGCCCAATGCTGTTGAGCATTTTTTCATGTGATTATTAGCCATTTGTCTATCTTCTTTGGAGAAATGTTTATTCTAATCAGTTTACTTCTTAGTTGCATTTTCCCCCCCAAATATGTGTTTTATTGCTTTTTAGAGAGAGAGGAAGGGAGAGGGAGAAAGGAAAGAGAAATATCAATAAGAGAGAAACACCAATCGATCGGCTGTTTCCTGCACGCCCCTTCCTAGGGGTCAACTCTGTAACCCGGCATGTGCCCTCATGGAATTGAACCAGCGACCTCACAGTGTCTGGATCAGTGCTCACCATTGAGCCACACCAGCCAGGCTGGATTATTTATATTTTTTAAATGTTGAGTTGTAGCTGAGACCGGTTTGGCTCAATGGATAGAAAGTCGGCTTAGGGACTGAAGGGACCCGGGTTCGATTCCGGTCAAGGGCATGTACCTTGGTTGCGGGCATATCCCCGGTAGGGGGTGTGCAAGAGGCAGCTGATCGATGACTCTCTCTCATCGATGTTTCTAGCTTTCTATCTCTCTCCCTTCCTCTCTGTACAAAATCAATAAAATATATTTAAAAAAAATAAATAAAATAAATGTTGAGTTGTAGAAAGATTTTTAAA